TGAAATGTGAAAATAATCTAATAATTATAAATCAAACAGTTTATCCAGATTTATCCATAAATCTTGTGGAATAACACTAACACCGGGAGTTAGTGTTAGTGTAAAGTTAACGTTACTCAGTCAGGGGTAGTAGGCCGTCGATTAACAAAATGCTTAAATATATTTTAAAGTATGTCAGTGAGCCTCCGTCTTGTCTTTAATCGTCTTATTTTACATTAAAATATATGCATTATGACCAAAGAACCGTCATTATTTCCAACTTCCAAGCAATAGGTGTTTTTGTTAATCCTGTCGACATAGTTGCTTGATCCACGCCCATTATTTCTCCCCTTGGCTTTTAGATTTTTCGGGAAGGAAAACAATTCCAAACTTTTAGGATACCGGCCCGGGTATCAGATTTGCACAATCCATACGCATAACGCTCCTCACTCGAAAGCTTGCCAGACCTCCCGCGCCTACGGTTGCTAAGATACGATTGGCCAGTGGCGGTTTTCGGGCGTGGCTTAGCGAAGGGTCAATTACGTATGGTGCGCTACTAAGCGGGCCCCACAGCCTATACTTCGCCATGCTGAAATTATGTGACCCGCATTGTTTTACTGGCTGCATTTACATTACATGGTTCTTCAAATTAATTAATTCAGATTTTTTTCCTCCCATCTGGCACAAATCGGTCATTGTAAATGCGGCCACTGTCTGAACGTCAGAGAGAATCCTCGCACTCATTGGCTGCCGCCTCTGTAGATATGCTAGTACAGTGTCCTAGTGTATTTGGTAATGTGAGAGCGTAAATTTGTCAAATAAAAGGCAAGTTTTATTGCACTTTACCAGCGGAGACAACAGTACCTGTACGCCCAAAGAAGCAGAAAAGCTCTTAAGACTGAAGACAGAAAAACAAGCAATGTTCTACTTTTTTTAAAAGTGTCACCGGCCCACCGGTGGGCCCAAATCCATTACATTTTTAAAACAGTAATATCCTATACTAAACCTAAACTAATCTTGACAAACTATATATCATTTGAAAGCTTACAATCTCTAGTTTCCATATTTGGTGATTGATTTTACAGAGGAGTAATTTATCAATTTGCAACAAGAATATTTTCATACTCCTAAGGCGTGTTCAGACCTTTATTTTGAAATAGTGATGAACATGAAAAATCATGAAAGAAGGGTAGAAACCTCAGTTTGTTTTCATGCCAAGAGTTCAAAAGATAGCATCCATTCAATTATTTTAGAAAAAAAGGTCAGATTTTTTTTTTTTTTATATATAAAGAAAAAAATGATAGATTCACCATTTGTTGCAGGAAGCTATAACGCACATGCCTGTTATTTTTACGTGTTCCTTAGAGGTGGAATTCATATCAAAATCTGCCAAACTTCTCATATTACTTCTGAATAGGATGTCTATTTCATAAATTGTATGAAAATTGTGGAAATAATGGTTCAGATCACTCAAAACACATGGAAAAGGAGGCGCCCTTATATGGGCAGTAATGGAGTCTGGTTGTGATCTAGGGAAAAGTTTTGGTACTGCGCCCAAACAAAATCTCACTGAAAGCTCATTTTTTGAGATATCAACCTAAAATTTGAAACACAACTTGTTCAGATTTTTGGCTTTGATTTTTTTGCAGTTTTAGAGTCGCCCAGGTTTTGAAAATATATATTTTATATAAAAAAAGAATAATTACATTTTTTACATTGTACATTTTCATAAACTCAAACTTCTATAACTTTTTTTATGTTTCACTTTCTCAATTTATTTCACTTCTACAAAAATCTGCTAAATGTCTTCTTTAAAACAAGACCAATCTTACGTCTATATTCCAAAGCATTCTTGAATTACAACCATTTCAGTTCGAAATGTGCATTTTCATGTATATTCAAAAAAAGGGGGGTGACACTTAAGGGGTGTACTATATTTATAAAATTCACCATTCTATTTGCAAAATGATGTTGCATGTCAAATGTATTATTAAAACGCTAAAATATGCATCTCTGTTAATATTTTTAGCAGTTTATACTTCTGTATAATCGTGCATTTTGTTTTAGAGACCTTTACATCATAAATGGAGTTTATAGTTCATTGTCCTTTATTTATAACTTCTACCATTCATGTAGGGGCTTATACATGTGATTATGTCAGATGATATCATCCATGTAGAAAATTACATTTCTGACAGTTTCACATCCTCAGTCATCGTTGACGTCTTTTGGGTTGGTGAAGTATCTGTCTGAGCTGCTAAACCTGTTTGCTCTGGTCATATGAACTGTTACTCATGCAATACCAAAGACCATGGTAAAATCTAAATATCCATCATTATGGATAAAAAGTCAGATGTCATGCCGCTGACATCTTACAACAATGAACAATGAAATTCTAAAAACAATTTTTGTTTTCTATCATTGAAGTATGTGATACATGCCATTGATCACGTAGGCCAGTGGTTTTCTTAAAATCTATTCTATTTTCTATGTCTATTCTGGTCTTTATGTTACAGGCAATGTCTGTATTTGGTATCTGAGAGGGTCTGACCCGTGTATGGAATGCAGTAACAGTGTTTACTCATTTAGCCCATCTTCCAGAGAATAAACTTGTTCTGTAATTAATTAATTCGCTCATACAACCAAACTAAACAAGAGTTATATTTTGTAGAAAGAGAATTGTCAGTTTGAACTTTATTCTGCTCTTCTCATCATAGCTGAATGAGACATGTAAAGACAACTGTGGTCATGAAGGTCAATAATACACCAAATGTATCCACTAACACATATGCCTCCTTAGCATGTCTATTTATTTTTAGGATTTATAGCACAATTTGTTACTATATCAGTGTTTCCCCTCGGTTACCCGTAAGCCAATCACATAACGTCTGGTTATGACGTGTGTTATTCGCCAGCTCAGCCGCATCGAACTTCCACTGTACACACATGTATGATGTGAAAACAAAACCATCGAGCGAAATACCGGAGTGAACATGGCTGACCGAGTTTTGCTGCCTCCTTAACCTGATCCTCCATGAGTGCAACCAAGGGGGACACAATCACAACTATCGCCTTGCCGGCCTTTGGCCTGCCCAGTTTCTCGCTGACGATCGGTAATAGTTGATAAATTAAACTTTTCCCAAAACCTGTCGGGAGTAGGGCCACAACATCACCTCCATTCAAAATGTTTAACAAACACTCTTCTTGTTCGGGCTTCAGTTTGCAAATGCCACAACAGAGCGAATTGCATCCTGTATCTCCATATCCGCGGTCGTTTTCGATTTCCCTAACCTAAAATACAATCTTAAACTCGGTGCTTAGGACTCGGTAGCTCGGTGCTAAACTCGGTTCTACGTCACGGCTCTCAGCCCGCCCTCTGTTCGTTGATTGGCCGGCTGTTTCCAGGTCGGAGGAAAACTGAGAGACATGTCGATGTCTCAGACTGAGTACAGAAACGAACTGAAATAGAGTGGAGGTACGAAGTCTGACGCAGTCAGGCTAACATTACAATGTCATGAGAACATGAACTTAAACAAACGTGAATGACGCGGCTCGGGACAGTTGGGCCAGTGCCGCATCGTCACGAAAGTTTAACCCTTGCTAATGTGAATGTTCCAGTGCAAGAAGAAGCAAGAGTCACTTTGTTGAACTCGCTCCAGGCAGGCTAGGCGAGCGGTTCCTGGCAGGTCACAAACATTCATCTCCTGCAAGCCTTCTGTTTCTCCCAGACCTCTACGATCAGGTGTTGAGGTCTTGGGGGAAATCTTTTTCTGCCTGTATGTTCCCACCCAGCAAGTCCAACTGCGCTAACGTTACAGGGTTGGAGGAACATGGTGAAGATGCCCTGGATGGAGGAATCATTAGCTGGTTACCTCTCATCCCGCGAGGCTCCCACTTTGCCCTTAAAGCCTTGTCAGTTTACATCTGAACTTGTGGGCAAAGCGGTAGTGGGCCAACCTGGTGGTGTTGCAGGCGTACCAAGATGCACGTCCTGATTTTGCCGAGTTAGACACGTTCCTGGGTCAACATATTTTGTTGATCCAGGAACAGCATTCCTGTCCAAAAATGTTGTCCTAACCCTATCCCTCCCCTAAACCTAACCTTACCCATAAGTTATCCCTAAAAATCAGAGGGAAATGATAGGTGAATAACACTGAAGCAGAATCACCAAACCCTGGTTGTAAGCCTAAACTTGGAATAAACTGTAAACTTGTCCCTTAAATCGATTATCCGATTGGTTGATAGGAAGTTCCAGGAACATGTTGTACTTGGTGAAATCAGCTGCCAAGCTGACCCTTTGAGGGACGCTGGTGTCGGGACACAGTCGCAGAGTCCACCGCACCACCGACCTTGCCCCAAGAACTTGCCACATATGTTTTGAACTAGATTTCCAAGAGATTTTTCCTTTTCTTGATACCTTTTTTTAAATAACCCTATTAACCATTTATAGGCTTATTTACATCTCAGGTTTTATGGTGTATTTGTTACACAACATTAGTTCATATAAATGTCAGGCGTTAAACGTATTCAAATAGCTATTTAAACAATTTGACAAATAATGCATTCAGTTGTGAGTTTGCAGTGTATTATACAGTATAAAAAACAGTGAGCCATCAAGTTCCCTCAAGCTGTTTTGAGCACTATGTGTATAAAATATAAAGTCAAAGGCCATAATTTCACACTTGGATTTGAGATTTACAGTAGGCCTACAGTAAATCCTGTAAATAAGTTAAATAGAGTACGCTTCAGTTCTGAGCCTTTTACAAGCTAAACACGTAGCAGACAATGTGATTTGTCTGAACAATGCATTGGGACAGCAGTGCTGCATGATTTACCGTCTTGTTTGGATTACTACACACTGAAGGGACAGCTTTATGTCCCATTGGGGATGAAGAGGATTAAGAAAATAAGTAAGATTTTAGAAGGGATTATGCAAGGCATTTTGAAAGTTTTGGTACAGACCCGGAAGTGTCACAAATGTTGACTTATTGTCACGTCATCTACATGGGAATTCACTGGACCAAGCCCTGGTTTATTCACATCCATCCAGTATTTAAGCCACATTATCACAGATGCCAGAGCAATACAGACTGTGACATTACAATAACTGGACGAGAACATCAGCGCAAGGTAACTCACTCATCTCTTGAGTTATGCTATATGTATGGCTTTTAAATCTATCTATATTACTGGTAACTGAATAATCACTGAATACAAGCAAGCTAAATGTGTTAAAAATAAAAAATAAAAATATTATTCTGTGGTAAACAATATCTAGAGAATAAATGCTTCAGATTGACGCTTTTGTTTTGTAGGATGAAGTCAATACAGGCAATGTTACTGATGCTTTTTGTTGCATCTGTCTTTTCAAAACCAGTAAGTCAGTTATCTGTTTTCCTTAAAAAAATTATTTTTATAAACGGTATATAAAAGTTACTTTTATTGCTACTTCAGTTTCTTTCAAATGCATTCATTTCTTTTAATAATAATACTTTTTTTCAACTGTTTGAATCCCCAGTTTCCTTTGCGCAGAGGATTTGATTCATCAGACTCAAGATCCAGTTCCAGCGAGGATTCAAACTCTGAATCTGAATCAAATGAGTCTAAATCAAGGGAATCTGATTCTTCTGAGGAAGTTATTGTGCCACGCACAATCCCTCCAACTAGAAGAACAACAAATCCGCCGACCACTGTCAGCACAACAGGACCCACAATCGCCCCGGTGTCATAACCCACAAACTGTTACGCTGAATGTGACCAGTCTTAACACGACCTGTGGAAAGGGTGATGATAACAACGGATAATAACTTGCAATATTGCTATTTAATCATATTTTTTAACAAAAGTAATGTCCAAATAACAGTATAGCCTACAATTGATTTTTATTGATTGATTGATTGATTGACAATTGATTATAGTTTACAGTATAAAATCATGTTTATGCATTGACAATGAAGGTATTGATATTAATGAATAATGTAACTAATTAAGATTAAAATTGCATGTCCATATTATGATTTTAAGTGTTCTTTTTTTTTCAATTTAAGAAAAAAATGATTATGTAAGAAAAATAGGGGGTTTAATGTCGGTAGTATATTGAAAATACGATTTCATATCAGCATATTAATATGTGAAATCAGTAACTTTTCTTGAACCTTTTTCAGTAACCAAAGGAAATAATAATAATAGTACACAAGTATTATTATTATTATTATCAGTAGTTGTAGTAGTATTAATATAGCATTAGTGTAAATTACATGAAACCTTATATGATTTTTTTCTTATTCAATAATGCACAATTCACAGGAATTTTTGTGTGTGTGGTCAAAATAAGTAAGGTTAACGGCACCATCCTAGCATCATGGTTGGGGAAAGTTTCTTTTAAGGACGAGCTAGGAAGGCATGGTACGACAAGATCGATTCCGAAGCAAAAGAAGATCATTTATAAACAATAATTGTGCAATCTGTGCAAAGTACATATTCAAATTAAAAATAAATACATTTAAAAACTAATGTTTGCTGGGCAAACACAAAGGAAAATGGCTAGAGCAGCCAAAACCTACAGTAGCGCTAAAGTACTTTTGGATTCTTGCAGCCTCCCCGCCTCCCTTAACCAAACCAACACTCTGGTTAAATAAGTGATTTCCCGCCAAACAGATATGAGGGCAACCATTTTAGCAAGGTAACCATATTCCAACAATGCACATTCATATTAATGACATCAAAACAATAACTTATTTTTGCCTAGCCAAATAAATACACTAAGCACAGTATTAACCAAAGTAAACTATTACAATAATAAACATACATTCAACACATAAACATCAAAACTATAACATGTGAAGCACCAGGGTTACATAAAATGGTATGACCACTGCCATTATAGGTTACGCGCACTACCGGAATGAACCAGGACACAGCAGAAATCAACAGGTAAGCAAAGAACGATACAAACGCTAAATCATATGATATTGACTGACCAATAAACACTCTGTAAAAACCACTAGACTCCTTATAATTACACTTGAGTGAGTAACACCTGATAAACAGTAAAAGAAATGAAACTTACAGGGTTTGTTTGTACGAGAAAACATGGCGGAAGGTAGTGACAGTGCTCTGGAGATTTTTCAGCCTTCTAAGAGGACCAAATCTGAGATGTGGTCATATTTTGCCCTTTACAAAAGTCCTGGGGGAAACTTAATCGAGGATGGTCACCCTGTCTGCAGAACATGCAAAAAGAAAGTCGCTGCACAAAGGCAAAACACTTGAAACGTTTACCTCAATACCAAAACTAAGTTGGGGAAATAATTGGACACAAAATATTGTAATTTTCACAATTGTATTTTTATCAAATAAAATGTTCTCACTTGTAATTACCGTGAAGCTTCCGCAAAGAAAAGTTTGCAGCATGTGGCTTTTGTCACAGTTGGTTTTCGGTTTGGTTTGTGTTCATGTCTTTTATTTTGTATTCATGCTCTTAATATGTCTACATTGAAGGGGGAGGATTCTGGAATCCTGCTGCTTCGATGTATATCTAACGAGTGATTATTATCAAGGTATTAATCAATATTTTTCCTTTTAAATATCAAATGTTTTGAATGACTGAGATTTGGGTCGCCCAGCAACCCAAATCTGCGACCTGGAAGGTCACGACGTGCCTAACTTCAGGGTCCGAGTGTCAGCTGCATAATCGATGGAATATGCTTCAGTCTATCTGTATATGTGTGGAAAATTACTATGTTTATCTATTTCTTAGCCAATCAGAATCATTTAACCTGAAGCAAGGACGTAGCTTGTCAATGGAAATCATAGATGTGGTTGATGTGCTCATTGTGCCAACACTATAGACACTAAAACATGCAGTAACTCACATTAAAATATAACATTAAAGAATTTATAAATTGTCTATCTACCCATGTCATTTATGTGCTTTTATGCCCTTGTGGCTTGATGTATGCTGGACAAACAAAACGCAACCTTAAGTTGAGAATCGCAGAACATAAGGCAGCCATCAGAAACAATAACCTTGGCAATGCTCTTGCTTAACATTATACAGAGAAGAATCTAGTTCTGCTGCCTCCCTCAGGTTTATTGGTCTTGAGAGGGTATTGCCAAACCCTAGAGGTGGTAACAATTAAACAGCTCTTGAGAAGAGAAGCTTTTTGGATCAATGAACTGTCTACTGTTGAACCCTATTGCATGAAGTAATCATAGGATTTGAGCTGTTTTCTATAAATATGGGTTATAGGGTATTGACTATTAGCCTCACTGCAGTGCATGTATCAGTAACTGGACATATTGATGATGTATATCTGTAACGTATGTATATATTTTTCTACAAAACGTTTTGCTCGTGTCGGGCTTTCGATGATGATAATTATGTATATATTTGATGATGATAATTGTGTATTGTGTTGATACATTTGAGGATGTGAATCATGTATTCAATTTTCTTAACTGGGTATTTATGGGAAAGAGTTGGATATTGGCATTTAGAATATTATGACGCTATATGTGAAACGCGTTGTTCCCTCTGAATAAAGTAAAGTCAATAGTGTGCGGTAGAGTGTTCTTATTATTATTGTCAGGCTTATTTAAATCTCAGGTTTTATGCTGTATTTATGTTACACAACATTAGTTCATATAAATGTCAGGCATTAAAAATGTATCAAATGGCTATTTATTAAGTAATTTGACAACATTTACATTTACATTTAGCTGACGCTTTTATCCAAAGCGACTTACAATTGCTATATATGTCAGAGGTCGCACGCCTCTGGAGCAACTAGGGGTTAAGTGTCTTGCTCAGGACACATTGGTGTCTCACAGTGGATTCGAACCCGGGTCTCTCACACCAAAGGCATGTGTCTTATCCACTGCGCCATCACCACCCCTACCACCCGACAATTTGCAGTATGTGTACAGTATAAAAACCAGTGATCCATCAAGTTCCCTCAAGCTGTGTTTCGAGCACTATGTGTAAAAAATATAAAGTCAAAGGCCATAATTTCACACGCGTGGGATGTACAGGACAGTAAATCCTGTACATAAGTTAAATAGAGTACGCTTAAAGGGATAGTTCACTTTGAAATAAATTTTTGGTATGTTTTAGCTTACCTCAAGGGCATCCAAGATGTAGGTCTCTTTGTTTCCGCAGAAGTTTCAATTTTGATATTTTTAGGTCAAACCGTTCTTGTCTGTCAGTCATATAATGCAGGTCTATGGTCACCACCTCAAAGAGCATGCACAGAGAAGTCCAAATTAAACATGATTTAATGACTCGTAAATGTAAGTACACATTGATGGCCTAAGACAGCGGTCCCCAACCTTTTTTGCGCCACGGACCGGTTTAATATCAGACCATATTTTCACGGACCGGCCTTTAAGTTGTGGTGGATAAATACAACAAAATAAAACACGACCGGCATAAAAACTGGGGTATATTTTAAATATATATAATAAACGTGAATTCAATGTGTAGGCCTACTTGCAACTTTATTAGCAGCGTCTTCGTAACATCGCGCCAACAACACAACATGAGTAACATCCTCTCTGCCCCCTAACGCTCTCTGGTCGCTGTGGTAACGTTTATACATGCCTTCAAAATAAGATACACCACAAAAACAAATATAAAGGGCATGAAAAATACAACTCACTATAACGCTGAATTAGTGGAAGCCCTGAGCCTGTTTCTCTCTAACGAGACGGTCCCATCTAGGGCTAATGGGAGACAAGGACACCCGAAGTGTTTTGCTTATGTCCAGTCTACTCCGTAGTTTGGTTTTGGTTGCTGTCACTGCCGAAAACCCCGCTTCACACAGATAGGATGTCGGAAATGGCAACAGGGTTTTCAGTGCTGTTGTGGCGATCTCAGGGTATTCTGCCATGACTTTTATCCAGAACACCGGCAGAGTTGTTGCCTCGAACATACTTTTAAGGCCGCCGTCACTTGCGATCTCCAGCAGTTGATCTTCTTCTTGCACAGACATGCTGGATTCACCTGGTTTGTTGACAAATGGGTCGCGAATCCATTCCTTGGCAGTTCGTGGGTCTTTTGTGGTTGGGATGTAGCGCTCAAACTCTTTTAAAAGCGAAGACAGGTGATTGTGCACCAGCTGGGAGAATGAAGGCTCGGGCTCCGTCTCTTTCAAAATCCCCGCCAATGTTGGAAACATGTCAAATATACCTCTGTTCACGCGCCGTCCCCATAAATCAAGTTTGGCTTTAAATGCAGCTACTTTATATGCCAACTTGAAGACTGTTGTCATTTTCCCCTGAAGTGACAGATTGAGTTCATTGAGCAGGTTGAATATGTCGCATAAGTAAGCGGGGTTTACGACCCATTCCTCGTCACTGAAATGTGCTGCCAGCGGTGACTTTTTTTCTGAGAGAAATTTCTGCAGCGGCTCTCGTAATTCAAACACTCTGGCCAGCGATCTCCCTCGGGATAACCATCTTATTTCTGTATATAAGAGAAGGCGTCTGTGCTCCCCGTCCATCTCCTCACAAAGCTGCTCGAACAGACGCGAGTTAAGGGCGTGTGCTTTGATGTGGTTAATAACTTTAACAGCATCATTCAATACACCGTTAAGTTCCGGTGGCATTTTTCGGCTAGCCAGCATTTCCCTGTGAATGACACAATGCGTAGACTCACATTCAGGTGCAACCTCTTTAATCCGAGCAGTTAAACCAGACAGCCGTCCAGTCATGGCAGCAGCTCCGTCTGTGCATACGCCAACACAAAAAGACCATTTCAGTTTTCCTGATATATAGTCATCCAGCGACTTGAATAGTTCTGCGGCTGTGGTTTTGGTTGGCAACGATAGTGCACATAACATATCCTCATGCACATCCTCGTGATAAAGATATCGCACATAAACAAGCAGTATTGGCTTGTTGTCAATATCTGTAGACTCGTCAACCTGGAGTGCATACCACGGTGATGTATTTATCCTCTCCAACAATTGTGTTTCAATGTCATCTGCTATTTCGTCAATGCGCCGAGTGACGGTGCTAGCCGAAAGAGGCACCTGTGCTATCTTTTTAACCGCAGCGTCTCCTAGAAGTTCACGGCAAATGTCTTTTGTGGCGGGGAGGATCAATTCTTCACCAATAGTGAATGGTTTCTTAGCCTTAGCAATACGGTTAGCCACCAAGTATAATGCTCACAGTGCACTCGCATTTATTGATGTGGTGGCCCTCAGTAATTGCTTCTGGCCTTCTTGTTCCATTTTTTTTCTTTCAAAATACTCAAAAGGCTTGTCTTTTAATGCGAAGCAGTTTTGAAGGCTTCATTGCCTCATTAGAGAGCTGGTTGCCACATATTATGCAGAGCGGGCTTGGTGCGTGTTTATCACCTGTTGCGATAAATCCATATTTCAAGTAGGACTCCTGGTATTGTCTGTTAAATGCAGCTTTCTTTTTCTTGGAAGTCGTAGGCTCTTCTTCTATCTCCTCAATGGGCCGTTTCCCCTTCGCAAAGAAACTTTCCAGAGACGTTTGTTTTTTACTCATTTCGCTAGCTTGTGGGTTTATTTTTTAGCGGTAACGTATCAAGTGACCGAGACAAGCGTTGCTATCATAGGGTTGCTATGCGCCAAGAGTGAGTCATAGACAGATGTAACGGAGAGATTTTATTATTTTAAAATGTATTATTTTTCAAAATAACACATCGAGCAGACTCAGATAATAAATAAAACTGTAATGAAAGATAATGAAAAAAAGAATGTAAGTTATTTATTCTTTCTGTGCGGCCCGGTATCAAATGACCCACGGACCGGTACCGGTCCGCGGCCCGGGAGTTGGGGACCGTTGGCCTAAGACACGAAACAAGTGGTTTGTGTGAGAAAACTAACAGTATTTATATCGTTTTTACCTCTTGAGTCACATGATATAAATACTGTTCGTTTTCTCACACAAACCGCTCGTTTCGTGTCTCAGGCCATCAATGTGTACTTACATTTACGAGTCATTAAATCATGTTTAATTTGGACTTCTCTGTGCATGCTCTTTGAGGTGGTGACCATAGACCTGCATTATATGACTGACAGACAAGAACGGTTTGACCTAAAAATATCAAAATTGAAACTACTGCGGAAACAAAGAGACCTACATCTTGGATGCCCTTGAGGTAAGCTAAAACATATCAAAAATTAATTTCAAAGTGAACTATCCCTTTAAGTTCTGAGCCTTTTACAAGCTAAACACGTGGCAGACAATGTGATTTGTCTGAATAATGCATTAGGACAGCGGCGTTGCATGATTTTCCGTCTTGTTTGGATTACTACACACTGAGTGTAGAAGGGATTATGCAAGGCATTTTGAAAGTTTTGGTACAGACCCGGAAGTTGCACAAATGTTGACTTATTGTCACGTCATCTACATGGGAATTCACTGGATCAAGCCCTGGTTTATTCACATCCATCCAGTATTTAAGCCACATTATCACAGATGCCAGAGCAATACAGACTGTGACATTACAATAACTAGACGAGAGCATCAGCGCAAGGTAACTCACTCATCATCTCTTGAGTTATGCTTTATTTATGGCTTTGAATCTATCTATATTACTGGTAACTGAATAATCACTGAATTATTCAAGCAAAAAAAAACATTTTATTCTGTGGTAAACAATATTTCGAGAATAAATGTTTCACATTAATCTCTTTAAGTGCTTTTGTTTTGTAGGATGAAGTCAATACAGGCAATGCTACTGATGCTTTTTGTTGCATCTGTCTTTTCAAAACCAGTAAGTATCAGTTATCTGTTTTCTTTTACAATTTTATTTTTTACGATATTCTAATATATATATATAAATGTTACTTTATTGCTACTTCACTTTCTTTCAAAAGCGTTCAGTACTATTAATAATAATACTTTTTTTCAACTGTTTGAATCCCCAGTTTCCTTTGCGCAGAGGATTTGATTCATCAGACTCAAGATCCAGTTCCAGCGAGGATTCAAACTCTGAATCTGAATCAAATGAGTCTAAATCAAGGGAATCTGAATCAAATGAGTCTAAATCAAGGGAATCTGAATCTTCTGAGGATGTTATTGTGCCACGCACAATCCCTCCAACTAGAAGAACAACAAATCCGCCGACCACTGTCAGGACAACAAGACCCACAATCCCCACGACAGAAGACACCACAACCTGGGTTACGCAGAATATGACCAGTACTAACAAGACATGTGGAAGGCTTGATGATATCTGCGATTAACTAACAATATTCCTGTTTAATCGTATTTTCATGCAAAACACACAAATAACAGGGTACAACTGATTATAGTCTACAGTGTAACCTACTGTATGCTTATGCGTTGATAATGAAGGTATTGATACTAATGAATAATATAACTAATTAAGATTAAAATTGCATGTCCACATTATGGTGTTGTGTTCATTTTGAGGTTGTTGGGGTTTTTTTCATTTAAGAAAAAAAAAACAGAAAACTATTTTATGATGTAAGAAAAAACGTAATAAAAAATAAAAAAATAAAAAAAAGATTTCATAGCATATTGATATGTGAGTTCAGTCATTTTTCTTATACCTTCTTATTCCAGTAACTGATTGAAATAATAATAATAAATGATAATGGTATTAAATTATTATTATTATCAATAGTTGTAGTAATATTATAGCATTAGTATAAATGACATGGAACCTTGTAGATACGATTTTTAACAGCATCATCCTAGCATGGTTGGGGAAAGTAGCTTTTAAAAGTAATGCGTTACAAAATTGTGTTTATTTGTGCAAGTCAGATGAGTAATTGCTCTCGCAGGTGAAAACGTACAAATATTTTATCGGATGTGCCTTTCGTTTACACGGCGACGGCGTTTTTGGGGCTTGTTAAGGCCTGTTCACACCGGGACGAATTTTGCGCGCGATATTCGCCGACGTTTAACGCCTCGTGACTAAACAAAGGGCGCCAATGTGAGTGTGCACACCGACACGAAAAACGCCACGTGTAAAAGCGTCATTTTTTTAAAAACGCCTCGGGTTTGTTTTTTTGGTTTGACGCACCGCGTCAAAAACTATCCGACCAATGAGATTGGCGCTTTTGCTCACGTGTCTGGAGCTTCTGAAGTTACAGTAAAACACAACTTGGGGGCGGTCAAATACAAAACGGTCTTGCCGAGCAGCACACATACGTAACGGCGAAGAAGATATACGCCAAGTAGCGCCTACCATAGATATCCATAATAAAGGCTAGATGTCTCGTCCGCGCTGCTGGCCAATAGCCTTTATTATGGATATCTATGGTCTACACTGCCGGGAAGAAATAAGACGAGGAAGATGCGAGGCAAGATGAATGTATAGAGCTGCTGGTCTCGCTGGTGTCGCAACATAAAGAACTAACTTATGACAAGCGCGACAGCGACTACAAAATAGGACTATTTCTGTTTTACATTAAGTGCCATGCCGCCATCTAATGTCAGGGAATGAATTTGCATGTTCACTCGGCTCATCGTCAGCGAAAATCGCTTGGGTGTGAACACAAAAAACGCGTTGAAAAACGCTGACGAATAACGCGCGCCGATATTTGTCCCGGTGTGTACGGGGCTTTAAAAACGCAAAAAAGTGAAACCACCCTCCGGAGTGGAAATCTTAAAAACGCTCCACCGATACACGTTCCCGTCTAAAGGCCTGTTCACCCCGGACGTTTAACGCCTTGTGACTAAACAAAGGGCGCCAATGTGAGTGTGCACACCGACGCGAAAAACGCCACGCGTAAAAGCGTCATTTTTGAAAAAACGGTTCGGGTTCGTTTTTTTTTTTGGTTTGACGCGCCACATCAAAAACTATCCGACCAATGAGATTGGCGCTTTTGCTCACGTGTCTGGAGCTTCTGAAGTTACAGTAAAACACAACTTGGGGGCGCTCAAACACAAAACGGTCTTGCCGAGCAGCACACACGTAACGGCGAAGAAGATATACGGCAAGTAGCGTCTACACTGCCGGGAAGAAAGAAGACGAGAAAGATGCAAGGCAAGATGAACGTAGAGCTGCTGGTCTCGTTGGTGTCGGAACATAAAGAACTATATGACAAGCGCGTAAATACCGTAAATACTGTGACAAGCGAGTGACAAGCGAGTGTCAGAAGCGTAAAGTTGCACAGCGCCACCTTGTGTACCGGGGTTTTGTGTATCTGTTTTACATTAAGCGCCGTCTAATGTCAGGGAATGAATTGGCATGTTCACTCGGCTCATCGTCAGCGAAAATCGCTTGGGTGTGAACACAAAAAACGCGTTGAAAAACGCTGGCGAATAACGCGCGCCGATATTCATCCCGGTGTGTACGGCCCATAAAGGGTAAAAACGCAAAAGTCTGCTAGACAGTGAAGGTTGTACGCAGGCGCGCGGACTTGGTGTTGTTGTGTGGCAGTGCTTCACATTGCCACCTAGCTGCCTGGAGTGCATACAACATCGAATTTCACACACTTTTGCATCATAGCCTTAGTCTAGAACTACAATAACCATCATGTTCACACACACAGCGCACACAACGCCTCTGCACTTACTCAAGATTTCTCTCAACATGGGAACAGGAGAGCTGAGAATCAATGTAACTTGTAACTTTACTAGTTACATGAAAAAAGTAATCTGATTACATAACTCGGGTTACTTGTAATGCATTACCTCAACACTGCCTCCTATGGTATTAGAAGAGGAACTTCAATTGATCTCAACAATTTACATCATATGCTCATCATATGCTATTACATTCATTTAGCATGGTTAGAGATTATGCTGAAAGTCAAAAGTTGCTGAGTGATAATAAAAAGGCCATTTGGGATTGGAAGCACATTGCTTGTTGCAACGTAACTTAATGGTCTATGACATGGTACAATTCAAAAGAACAAGATAAAAAAAAACTCCTCCTACATGACCTCATTGTATTGGTCAGATATTATGTGAGTGGGAGATCAGTAATCATAGTGATATATCCCTTTATCATTGTTACACATGGAAATGGAAGGTCAAGCTTAGCGCATTGCTGGGACACAGCATTTATTCGCACATCTCAGAAGTTGCGTAAGGTCAGCCAGTGATGGCCAGATATTAAAAGATCCAGTTTTGTTTGCAATATGCATTAGTCAATGAACAAACTGTAGGCTGTCTGAGACTAGTAGTACCTTAGTGATTTGCATATAAAGTATGTGCTAAATATTAATAAATAATACACATATATAATAATTTACAAAAAAAAAATATTTAAGACTTTTCAGCATTGAACAGTTCATAGAGTGCTTTATTTTACATCTGAGGCTCATGCCTAAATCAAAATGTGTGTTTTTGTTGTTAGGTTAATTATATATACGGAAAGCGTCTGCGAACATTACCAGATGTCGAGGGATTTGATTTGATAGCTCTGTGATTAGAGATGTAATTAAACTTACTGTACGTTGAGAAGAACGCCACATTAACGGAGCAGAGGTTATGTGCACCATGCTGTTACTTTGTCAACGCCAATGTCAATTTAAAGAATTAGACATTTTATTTAGTATAGTATTTATTTTTTGTAAGAAATGGCCAGACTATCTGCGACCTCAGAACAGGATAATTACAGAGCACTAGAGACTCACTCAAATTTCAAAGTTTGACAAATATGTGTCTGAAGCCTTCACATCAAGACATTGGCACAAGATAGGCAGAGCTGTGGGTGATACTTTTTAGAAATCGAGTGAGGGTTTGACATCTCTCCAGGTAAGTCTTGTAATTTAGACACAGTACATCATAGCGTTCAAAACAGGCGTTGCTGTAACTGTAGTAGAGAGGTATTTTTTTCCCCCCTTCTGTTATTTATCAAAGGAAATGTTTCAAAAGTGGCTACAGTTTATATGTGGTTTATAAAGTGTTCAGGGTGGTTGCTGGAAAGTCAGGCCAAGATGCTTGGTTATTGCCTGGGTGTTACTGGACCAAGTCATAAGTTTCTGTTAATAAACAAAATAATGTAAACTGTCATAATTAGTGCAGAAATGCCAGGATATTTGAGCCAATAAGGGGCCTTCAAGTCAAAAAGCTTAAAGTCACCAACAAATCTAAATGGACAATTATGATTTTTTTAATGGAATAATGGACCGTTTATTAAAATGCACATTAGTATTTTATTTATTTATTTATGCGCCTCCTAATCTTTAATTAAAATAACTTCGCCTCGCTCTTGAAGCTCTTCTCTGATGATGTGTCAACTGGCGTGACTACATTGGTTCTTGTTTGAGAAGCCGTTTCACTCGGATATACGTCACAACAGGGAAGAAAAGACCATCACAACTTCAGTTTCATGCTGACTTTAAAGACCACTGCTCTATATCATTTGGCTGGGCTGCTGAAGGAACTGCTCAAACCAGCTTAAATGTGCCCAAATCCAACGAACAGACCAGGGAGACTAAGCAGCAAACCAGTTTAGGCTGGTTTACATATAAAAAAAAAAAAAATCACCAAGTATTAAATCTAAGGTATTTTTGCCTCAGCCAGCACCACCAAAAATTGTGTTGTTTAAAATTCCACTCTTCCAAAGGCAAACTTTGTCCATGTTGAAGGGTTTACTAGATTTGTATCTGTAATTCTTTTCTAAGGTATCATTGGTAATATTTAGATATTATCTTGTGTATTCTCTGTGCACTAAGAAACATTGCATGACTGATATAGGACAAAATTTATTCATAAATGATCATTCATTACATAGAGCAGTATAAAATTACATTTACATTAGGTTCGTAAATAATTGTGCAATCAACAGGAAGACATTGTTGAGATGAAACTGCATAGCAGCAGCTCAAGACCTCGTGTGAACCGTGTCGTTGTGCTCTGCGTTTGTCGTCGATCTCACACTAACGCCACGTGGAGTGAGTCACCAAGCACCATACAATTAATACATTTGCATTCGTTTGTGTCGACTGTGCTTGACTGTGATTACTTTGCGTTTATGATGGAAGCCTCGGTGGTCTGTGTGTTCTGCTCATCCGAATCGCTCTCCTGGCTTTCTGTGCTCTGTGAGGAGTCGCTGTCGCTGTCTGCAGCTCCAGGGGTGGCTGTGGTCTCCTCGCTGCTATCTGACTCCCCTGCTTTCTCCTGGCTGGCGCTGGCGCTGGCGGTGGAGTCGCCAGCACTCGCTCCCTCGCTGTCTGGCTCTTGGTTCCCGGCGGGGACGATCTCTTGGCCTCCCAGAGCCGCCTGGCGGTCTCCTGGCTCCATGTTCTCCATCTCGGGGGTGCTGCTGTCCTCCTCCAGAAGATCGTGCACCTGCAGAGCCTGGGAAACAAAAGTCATTCTCGTTTTGTTATATTATTCAGTTGTTAATTTGAGGAATCATTCATGTATGTTGCATAAATGGTACAGGAGGGTTACACAAAGAGTGTATAACTCTAAGTGTGAGTAATAGTAACATTACTTGTCAAAGCAAAAACCCTTAAGTCACTATGAAAATGGTTTAAAATGGACTATTCTTGTTTTTATGGAATATTGCAGTAGGCTATTTATTATAAATGATTTATCCACGCACAACATAATTTTAAATGTATATGCCCTCATGATATTTAATCAAAATAACTTCCCCTCCCTCTTGCAGTAACATTTTCTCTTCTCTGATGATGTGTTTACTGTCTAGAGGGCGGGGCAACCTGTCACTCAAATGAGATCCACCAATAGCAAACCACAACCATCCAATCAATTCCCCTGGACAACATCAAGTCCCGCCCTACATTTTGTCTTGTTCGAGAAGCCGTTTCACTCGGATATACGTCACAATAGGGAAGAAAAGACTATCATAACTTTCAGTTTCATGCCGACTTTAATTAGCGCCGGGGAAGCTACAAGCTAATTTAAAAGTGTGACAAGCTAGTCAAAATCTAAAGAAGATAAACTACAGTCAAGCTAAAGCTTTGAAAAAGTAGCTATTTGTTATAGCATAGCTAACTACATTAAAGGTATTTAAAAGGGCAATATGTTGAAACAAATAGCTGACTATCCAATGATATCATTTAATTGGAGCCGTATTTTTGCTCATTCAAAAAGAGTGACAGGTTTTAAAACAATAAACAATCTCAATTAGGGTGACAATTGGGATGACGAAGTATCAAACTTTAGCTAAATACAACAACAACAAAACTCTAATTTGCATAACTGAGTAAAAAAAATAGCAGGCTACATAAAACAGGGAGGCGAACTGGTGAATCATTTTTGTTAGCTTGTTCATTTAAATGAATCGTCCTAATGAACTGATTCAATCTAATGAAATGGGCTTTCCAACACTATAAACTGCAGAGAGAGATCATTTTAGGATGGTTCTGCCACAGTACTTACTTCTTTACATTTGTGCTGCTGTAAATACATAATACAATGTTTTTCTTTTCTATTACTTGCTGTCCACCCTGCATATGGGCACATTTTCCCAAACATAAAGTAACCTTTCTATTTACCTTGTGCAGTTGAATCTCTTTCTCCACGTCATTGAAGCTCTGCTCATCATAAGCAGAAGACTTCTTGCTCACAAATGTCAAACCGCCTAACTTGTCACTGCTGTAGGACTTGTATGGGGAAGGTAGTTTTTCAAAGTTGTTTGCGTCCACATAAACGATGCTTTTTTTGTAGTCGCTTGGGTAGCCCATGCTGTCTCCCCGGCCTGTGTTGATGATGGGGTCCAGCGAGGGCTCGGCTGTGGATGGGACAACGGTGCTCTGAGTTTCCCCAGAATTACTCTCACTGGAGTCAGTCTCCTAAAAGGACAACATATGTTAATGCACAATATAACTGACAATACAAAATTCTTTTGTTTTCTTCCTATAATGGTGGATTATGTATTTTTTTGCAGTGCATGCTGTGACACGTAGAACATTGTGAAATCCCATTGGTCCAAAATCCTGCTTCTCATAATTGTGCGTTAAACATCAAATATGTTCTCATTCACTGTGACGTCCCACAGCAGTTTTGCATTCTCTGTGAACAGGCCAATTGCTTAATAATGAAAAAACCTTTCCTGCATACTGTTTAGTCCAGTTGCTCTCAAAGTGTGAATTGAGACCCAAAAATGTGGCACGGGTGATTAACAATTTTGATACTGTGTTTGCCTTGACAACTTTGCATTCAACAAACACTTTTATACAAAGCAACTCACATTGCTTTACATTTGATCAGTTGTGTCTTTTTCTGGGAATTGAACATAACCTATGTGTTGCTAGTAGCTGGTTGAGCTACAGGAAGGTCAACACTTGATACCCTAAATTCTAGGTTTTGAACCAAAACCAGTTGATTTAGTCCAACTGGGCACAATGGTTCTGCATAACTGAAAACTTAAGTATTTTAGTGACTCACGTTCTCCTCATCCTCATCTGTTTTAGATTCCTCATCTGCCTCCTGCAAATGCAAAAAACAATATTGAGACTCACAGCAGGGTCACTTACAGTGCGTCTAGACCAACAGAATGGTATTTTTAGAGCCTGTTGTCTTTTATTGGCTATTGTGGGAACAGTGACGTGTGATGTGGTCAGAGGATGAGTCTTCATTCACCTCAGTGTCATCTTCACTGTTTGTGCTTTCATTGGAATCTGCTGGTGTGGTCTGAAACACAACCAAACGCCTTGCCGTAAACAAAACAATACTGTATTGCTCATGTATGTGCTAATTACCACATCCTTGAGTTGAAATAGCTGTAAGGTTTTAGTTTATATCAGTACTTTGACGTTTAGTAATAGTTCACTCATTTTCCTATAGTTCACCCATCATTTATTCACCCTTACATACCTGAATTTCTTTCTTCAGTGGATCATTTTTATGTATTAGTCCATGCGCTGGCAATGCAATGGCACCATAAAAGTATCATACAATATTGATTTTGTGAGGAACAGTGAGCTGTTAACCACTGCAACCGAATCTGTGAGTCAACGAGTCATTCAGACCAAATTTTTTTAATAATGAATTGAATCAACCAACTCTTTGAAAAGATCTGACTCAAAAGAACAAATTGGTTATTTTTTGTAGGTTTTTTGTAATTTCTCAGCTCGACAGCCCCAGTCCTCCTTTTATTCAATATGTGTTCAAGATATTACAAAAAAAATTCACATTTTGTGTTCCACAAAAGAAAGAAATGGCACAAGGGCTAACAAACAACAGATTTTTAAGGGTTAACTTTTCTCTTAAAGACATTTTAGAGGCTATAGAGGACGGGTTTTACCTGTGTAGGTTCTGCCTGGAACATATCAGCAGCAGCTTTTTTTAGAATAGGAGGTGGCTGTATAGGAGAGATGTTTTATTAAAATAGCAGTATGGTTTATATACAAGTTATTCATTTCAACACAGTGTTCATTTTGCCCATATCAAATAAGATACTTGCCCGTTGAACAGCAATCATTTCTTCTGAGCTCTCTGAACTGCTGGCTGAGCGCTTGACCTGAGGAAAAAAAAGTGCATTTTTAGTAATATTTAAAAAATCATAGTGTAAAACTTTAAAGCCCAGATTTCACAATTAAAATGAACTCACAGGTAGGCAGAAGACTGTGGCGATGAGGAGCGTCAAAACGAAAACAGTCTTCATTTTTGTGCAAAATACTCTAAAAAAGGGAGAAAAACAAAGTTGCACAGTTGCAATGAACGTCAATTTTGAACTTATAAATGTAAGTTAGAAAGGCCATTAAAAAGTTACGCCAACTAATGCATGGTAATAAGACATGTATTACATAGAGGATCGGCTGTTCTGTTTCACTGTTTCATGTTCTAGCTATAAACTGCCTCAAGAATGGGTATTTTTGGTATTTACTGCAAGGCAAAGCGACTCGGAAGGAAGCATGCCTTTTAAGGGCACTCAGAATCACGCTGGTAAATGCCAAAGAACTTCCTCGCCATGAAACATCTCATTTATTTTCAGCTACAACTGCATTGCATAAAGTATAAGTTGAGGTAGCGTGTGCTTGGCGATACCTATAATGATCTCCCTCTGGTGTATAATTCCAGAAGTTATATGTAGACTATGTAGCAGCCACAATCCCAAGATATAGCACGCCTCTGGCTCCAGACTTAGTTTCTCATTAGAATCTTTGTTGCTGCGAGCCAAGGACTAAAATGTGTGGCGTCAAAGGAAAAGTGAAGTGCGGCACAGAACACTAAGCGTGAAGCGTTTTGTTGAGGCTGCCGGCAGAAGTAATGGTGGCAACTGTCAGTCAGCCAGTATTATTATTCTTTTGTGTGGAACTTTAATTTAGTGGTTGTGTCGCTGGAATAAATGACTCAGTTGACAAATTAGTGAGGCCTTTATGTGCCATAGCCGCAACTTCCTCTTTCGTCTGTCAAGTTCATGTTAATCATCTCTGCCTATAATAAACTGTGGTTGGAATCATTAAAAGTCTTCATAACTTCAGTCTTGTTCTTACATTGAGGCTGAAAAAAACTGCATTTTGTTTTTTTACTTAGAGCAGCATCAATGCATAAAATGAATTTATTCATGATTTAAGGTTCAAATAGGCTGTACAGTACACTGTAAAAATCTGTAGAAATTACAGTATTACTGGCAGCTGCTTGCCAGTAACTTACTGTAGTTTTAAATTGATGTTATTTACTGGCAACAGTTTGTTCAAAGTTAAATGAACATTAAACATTAAAAAGTCTTTATCTTTACAGCATAAAACTAAAATAACAGCCTCATGCAAAGCATTAATGGGAAAAAAAAAAAACAGAAAAGGGTTGATGAAGATTTATGGTTCCCAGAATGCTTTGCATTAGATTGTTATTTTATAGTTTTATTCTGTAAAGACAAAGACTTGTTAATGTTTAATGTTCATTTAACTTTGAACAAACTGTTGAATATACATCAATTTAAATCTGCAGTAAGTTACTGGCAAACAGCTGCATAACTACAGCAATTTTTTTACAGTAGCTATGATCCCAAACTAAGTCCTTCATGTGATTTTTATAAAGATAAATGCCTGACGAACCTGATCAGTTGCAGACTACAAGCAAATAAATACATTCCACATCATACTCAGGCTTCTTTCAACATCTGCATACTGAATCCTTGGACGACAATTGGTTTTAAACCTCAACATCCTAAAGAATAAAAACAAACGAATTGTTTAATTGTGACTTACCTCTTTCTCTTTGAGAAATGTGAAGTCCTTTGACTGTCAGAGGATAGACTGTTGATCAGATGAGATCTTCCAATGTTTTGATGCTGAGAGATGGCTGCTGGTTTGGCTTTTAAACCCTTTCCCTCAGGAAGCAGCCAATGGCTGTGAAGCTTGTGATGTCATGAGGTTTACCGCTGCTGTCCCACCTTTATTCTCCCACTCTTCCTGTGGTTTATATGGCCAGGCAATGCAAACATTCACAGCCATGCATGACAAGCAGAAAAAATAAAACCAATATCCTGTATTGCTCTTAGGATCCTTGATATAATGTTGTCATGCTTATTATTATTACTAACATATTATGCATATACCATGGAAAGACTCAATGTCCACTATAATTGTTATTGTATAATAAAACAGGGCAAATAAATATTTAATAGCTTCAATTAAGGGGGTTTAATGTCTCCAGCTGTAAAGCAGAATGAAGTGTTAAGTGTGTAATCAGTTCAAATGTTGGTAGGGAACAGTGTGTCACAGAAAATCACAAAAGGAGCGGTTTATTGTAATTTATTAGAAGTTTATATTTGGCAGTGTTTGCTATAGGCACTATTACGATTGATTTGGGATTCAAATTCCCTACACATACCTTTGTGCTATCTTCTTATGTTACATATTTCAGTAGTAACTAATATATGATAAATTAGGTTCACGGTTTAACATAGTTAATCATATTGTTATTTAGGTGAGATTTATGTATACTGCACCCATGTTTTTCACATAAAAAGGAAGAAAAACATTTTACAGTTTATTTTGAGTAGGGTGATGGTGTGTCATACCAAAATCACATGAATTTCCTATCAGTCTGTATCATGATTCACAGTCTGTTTGTAGCAATGAAGTCAGATGCTCAAAATTTGCATTCACCAGTATTGTGCCTCTTCTGTGTTATTCGGTTCATTTACAGAATATGTAGTCTTTGTATGTTCAGGAGACGAGACATTTTTGCATTCCCTTACTTCTATACAATTATTCACCATTAACGAGCAGCACATGAACATAAATAAGCTACTGAAAGTGATAGTTAGTGTTCATGATTCATGATTTGCTAAGATATTGTGAGGCGTACCTCAGGGCAGCAATTAAAGAGACTGAATATCAGTGCTTATGATTGACAGGCAGCTTATAGACTTGAAACACCATCCATCACTCTATATAAGAATCATTCTACCAACTTAAGTAAGTGAAGACAAACAAAGTTAAAGGGACTTTAAAGGTGCAAATAAATGGGGAAATAAAGTACATCAGACATACTAATCGTAGGTTGTCATCTAGGAACATCATCTTGAGAACACATGTGTTAAGACATGCAGCATTAAACCACCATTCATCTGAGAAGTGAAATGTTTTTCATTTCTTCGCTCAGGCAAATGTTGTAAGAAGCCTATAGTTGGTGTCTGGAAATTTTTTTTATGTTAAAATAAGCGTCTTGCTGTCATGCATGGCGGCCGAACCGCCTATGTCTCACGGATGGATTAACAAAAAAACTCAGAGACACCACCACAACACCACAGAATTACAGACACTTTCCCAATTCTGTTAGAAATAATCACACGGACTGGTGTGTAATTTCACACCGTATAGCTTACATATTTCCAAATGTAAATATCAGTCAAATTAATGACTGAGAATGTAAGATTTTTGTTTTTTTCATCAATGAGTCATTTACTAACAAAATATCTTAGGTTAATTAAGTAAATGTCAGTCCACACTGACAAGAAAAATACTACATGACACAACAAAATCAAAGCCAATCAAAGCTTATTTGATTTGATGCAGATCCAGTGACTGTCCTGAATGTCAGCATCTTATGCCCGGTACACATTGTACGATTTTGGGCTGTCCCAGATGAAAGATGGCCAATCATGGAGATTTCTGTGGTCGTGGCTCCTAAAACGGTGGTCCTACGTCGTACAGTGAGAGAGGTTCAAAGATGGCCATTGTCACGGTCTCGCGACCAAAGATAGCCAAGATAGCTGTTTGCTGCTACGACCTACTGTACGTCTACTGACTAGCCAATAAAAATGCATCCTGAAATGGCGTATTAATGCAACATGGCGCTAAAACTTAAAACTGCTTACCTCAAACTCCATTTGCAAAATTGGCATGCCTCTTTACCTAGCCATGACCGCGTCCATATTCTCCTCTTTCGCTTCCAACTCTTTTTTAAGCACATATAAAAAACACAATTGCCAAAGTGCGATTCATCTTGCTCTATTTAGCGCATGCTGATGACATTTTATTCTTCTATACTAATTTGCGTCGTAGCTTACAATTGAATAGGTGTCATCTTCGTACAGTATACATACAGGTACATGTCGTACCCAAGTTTATTAGATCAGTGGTGTCGTACAGTGTGATTTGTAATGATATTATAGGATTGCCGAAATCGCACAGTCTGTAGCAGACATTAAACTTGATGCGGGCGGCGTGAAGTAAAACGAAAACAGGTGTAATATGAGCTCTCTTGGATTCATTTAAGACAAAACGTGCCACCAAATTTAGGTTTGCTTATGCTTTCAGAAAGGTCAGGTAAAAGAGCAATGCAGTATTTTCTATCAAGATATGACAGTAGCCTAGTTTTGAAGTTTAGATTTTCGTCAAACACTTCTTCCAAGTTCAGGCTTTACCTGAATGCCATTATCGATGTTATGATGAATTGCTGAGCTGGGTGGTAAGGCAAGGTGATCTGTCTTCACTCGGTTAGAGGTGGTGTTCTGGCGATCTATGGTTGCAATCCTCTGGCTGGGATAAGATGTTGAGCTTATAGTCTGTGTAGCAGAGGTAGGAAAATTCAAGTGCTGGATAAAAGGACCTAGTCACGTTGTGTACATTGAGAAAAGGAGGGGGCCAAGTATAGATCCCTGAGGTACCCCATTGACTGAAGTGACTTAGACACCTCTTCCCCCCACAAAACCTTGAAGGATCTACCTGTGAGGTGAGACTCAGACCAGCAGCGTGCTGTGATAACAATTGTAGAGATGGCAGACAAGAAGATCTGATGATTTAAAGTGTTGAAAATTTCAAACAAGTCCAGCAGAATGAGATCTTATGAACTGCAAGGATCTCTCGCCAAACACAAAGTAGTCTCAACTGAATTTTTCTTTTTGAAGCTGAACAGTGATTGCTAGCTTAATTGAAAACAAGTTATTTAAGTGTTTTCACTGAACCATGAGTGAGACTGTCTTTTTTTTTTTTTTTACAATGTGTTTTGTGTGTTTTCTTAAACCGTTTTGAATTTGCATGTTTGACTCTTAAATTAAGTTAAACTCACTTAAACTTTGTTGAATCCCTAACGGTCACTGGCATATTGGTATGAGTGTGAATGTTCACTAATAGGATCAAGGCTAACATTAGAAAATATGTTTAAGTATTAAACTTATCCCTGCTCTAATGGATGAATCCATCACAGACACAAGACAGAATCGTGACTGTCCAATGACATTTCAATCAATGTTAAGTCTGTGTGTGGTGATCTTTTCCCCACAATGTCTGTGTTTCATGCAGGGATGGACTTTATGAACTCAGTGAAGCATGTACCAGGACTGCATTCTAATCAGCCTAGTCTTTGCTTCTGTACTGCGGTTTGGTGGCTTTGGAAATTAAGTAAAAAAAATATTTTTAAAAAGACCACATGGCTTCAATTCAGCCCTGATCCAAAACATTAGTTTATGAAGTTGATGTCACCCTTTACAAGACTTAAACCAATGAAGTTCCAAGTCGTGTGCCATTAAATAGGCCCCAAACCATTAATCTTTGAGGTCAATTTGTTTGGAAACATTCTGTAGGAACACATTACCTATATGGATTAGACATTCCCAAACATGCTTTTAAAGGACTGTTGAATTAAACTATCAGCTTCTGAACTGTTAAAACTATATTAGGCCATTAATATCAGATGTGGTCTAGATTACACTATTTTATAACTGGGGAATAACATGATCAAGACCTACAAACCATTGAGACTCTTTTATGGCTATGGCAATGGAAAATCCACATAAGCCAGTCAACGTGGGAAAATCTGTCATGCACTATGTATGTAACCTGATATAGTCATCAGCTATACAGTGTCAGAAAATGTACAGTATATCCATAAGTGAAAGTAAAAAAAATATTGGCAGCGCGTGTTAACCACTAAGCGTGTAGGTTTAAGTAGTGGGTTCTTAACCCCAACGGTTCAGTAGAAACGTCAAATGCATGCTCGGCTTCCGGTCAGGGAACTTCAGACGTTCAGTCTGGATCAGTTTAGGCATGAAACATTTTGGGAATTCTTGGGAAGATTGGAAGAAAGTGCCGGAAGACACAAACAGGAAACTGAAACTGGAACTTTCTGAAACTGGAGAATAGCATTCTGTGGAGGAGCCTACTGACTCAAAATTTGTCTGAAACTGAACCACATACTGTAGACTTGATCAAAAACAATAGCGTTGTCATCCATAGTCTGGAAACAGAATAACCTAATGTGTGTAAACATATACAAAGCTTTGAAAAAACCTTTCTGTTTGTTTTGTATGTTATGTAATGTTATATGGGGCATGGAAAGGGAAAAATACTTTATATACTTTCCCACTTTAGATGAAGTTTGAACATAAAAACCTCAAAAGTTTTTAATGTCTATCCAACAGTAACACAATAAGAATAGTAAAATTAATCTTGTGGAAACCTCTTAAAACAAGGAACTTCTTCCATCAACAAAACAATGTTTGAAGACAAAAACGGGGGGCAGGCAGAATAACAACGATGCATTATATTCTGTTTTTTTTTTTTTTTTTTTGGATTGTACATTTAAGAGACTCTGCAGTACATTGTAAAAATAATATTCTTAGATATAATGATTATTGTAAGTTTTTTGGGTTTACTTATTGTAACTTCTTTGAACTTTCAGGAACAAAATTTGCCACAAATAAAGTGATGTTTTCATTAATATGTAAGATGTTGACACTTAATGTAATTTAAAGATATTTTAATTTACATTAGAAATTGATACAAATATAGTTTGGAGTTCAAATCATGGCATCTTAATATTTTAAGTTCAGTTAATATTTTAGTTGTTTATTT